GCCAGCGTCGTTTACCTAAATGTTCTCTAATCTAATCTAACATCTAAGAGCCATCAGACGCCGTTCAGAAGGGCATATCGACGCAGCGGAGGTTTAGAAGCATACAAAAATGCACAGAAAATCCACAGTGTAATGTCCAGTACGCGTGTAAATTGACAAGTACGTATTTGCTTGCTATTTCTTCATTTCATCACAACGCATATTAGGCGTACCCCTATTAGGCGTCAACGCATCAACGTGCGTAGAAGCTGAAGGGGGCAGGACAAAGAAAGGCTTGATTGCATCTTTGATCACGATTTCATACACACTGTGGTATTCACATAGACGGACTAGTGATTTTCAATTAACCACTTTCATAAAAACAAAGTAAAACTTCAGATAGCAAGAAGCCGCCAACAATCATTGGCCACCCCAGGTGACAGCGTGTTCCTGCATCCTGAAGAACGCAGCAGCGTAACTGCCTGTCACCGTAACACTTGGAGTCATCACATGACCTAGTCGATAACGACACTTCTGACGCCACTGGTAGAGATGCGCACCACTCTCCACTCTTATTTTGGCAGTAGTAATTAAGGCAGAATAATAAGAGCCAGGAGGTGGCACGGCGTAGGTTATTAACTGCTCCAACGACACTGGGCAACTACTGACATTGAGGATGTGACGATGTATACGTACAGGCCCTCAGGCAGAAGCTTTCTGCCTCGTTCAATGTGTAACTGATAGTATGACGTCAAGAATGACGTCTCTGCATAGGAGTAGCGTTTAAAGTAGTATTTGTGGCATAATTACGAAGGAGGACGAAAAACGAAAGAAGAAAGTATAATTTCTGCCTGAAAGCATTATTTCCTTCAGTAAATCTTTCGTTTCAATATGTACCAACTAGCCCATAGGGATACTTCGTAAAAGCTAAATAAGTAGTACAAGGTCCTCCAAGTGTGATAAATAGGGCTTCCTCCTCTTTCAATCGAGCCATTTTTTCTTAGTTTCTATTCATATAAATTTCGAATGCCACAGTCTATTGCAAGTTAAGCTTATTCTCGTATTTTTCCAAGGGCTGTTCATAGATAAAACGAACAAGTGGTATTCAAGAGTGGATGCCGAGCGTAAAACAAAGGGAACTGTTTTTACACTTATCAACAGCTACTATATATGACACAATGGCTGTGTTCAGATTCTAGACAGCATTGTAGACAGCCTACGCTGAGAGTCTGGATGACCGCATGAAGCTGTGTTGTCCGAGTAATGGAACGCGTCCAGAATACGTCTACTTGACGTGACGCCACCCCGCGTCGACAAGAGAAAGCTAAGGTAAACAAACAAAACTGTTATCCAATCATTTTGCTGAGCCACCATCTTGATGGCGAGCAAAATAACTTGCATCAAAGAGTTTCCTATAAATACACTAGAGGGAAATCAGACGCTAGCGTCTATAGGAGCAGCAACGCATTGCACATCACTGAGCACGGGTAAGATGGGCCGTACACAGATTTGTCTAATTTTTGCACGTCTATTTTCGTTTGGGTTCGCGTGACTTGAAGCTGTTTTGTCACGAAGCACCAATCGGCAAGTATTCAGCAGTTGTGCTTCACCACCTTAATTATTTAGGCTTACCATTTCAAATCGGGTTGCAAAGTTCGAAATGATTCGTGCTTTCCTTCGAAACAAAACCGAAACACAACAATAAACAAAGACACAAATGATATTCGAGGACCACAAGTACAATACCTAGGCGAATAAGTGTACTACCCATCATTCCCATGGTCTTTGAACAATTGCAGTTGCCAGAGAACCCTCTAGTGCATTTTAGGAAACTGTAAGACCTGCATTGTTTTTGTCTACAATGTCGCGTACTTGAAGTTGTCTATACGGCCGGCTACGTGAATATTAGAATGGTGCTTAAGATGGCGGCCACCCACTTAGTTGTCTATTTAGCCGTCTACGCTGGCTATTGGAGCACACTCATTTCAAACATGAAGTAAAATCATAGCGGTGTAACGGCTCGAAAACTAAAGAGACCTTTCTCGCTAAACGTGTATGACATTGGTTCGTGCATGCCAGGTGAAGGGAAAAAAATTGCGGTGCGGCCATTTCATAAGCATGAAATTTCACGTGCTAATATTCCCCCGTTTATGCTCCTCCGGGGTGCACAGAGTTATGCTTATACGGGTTAACAGTAACATCAGGGGGCATGAACCATAGCACACCATGCGAAATCCTTGCGTTGCCATTCTTGATGACTGCTCCATTCTTCAACTGTGGAATGCCGGGAACTTTGACCAGTGAATGCCCCCGTCATTCAGAGCGCTTTTAATGGGTGATTTCAAAATACGCAGGTCTTCTCGCCATGCAGCGCTCAAAGCGTGACAAGATGTCGTAAGCAAAATAGTACTCTGTATTTCGAGTTATGGTACAGGCTCCCAGCCTCCAGTAAATGATGTATGGTAGCAGTGCCTTAGGTTTGAGTGATAGATCATTCGCTATTAAACCATTGCAAGTTTTCGCCGTCGAAAAGCCTTGAAAAGGAAAACTAGAATATGCATTCTAGGATGTCTTCATATAATGAAACTTGCGTGTGTTTGCGTGTGCGTGAGCATGTGGGTTGAGTAAACCTTACAATGTAGTTTGAATACCTATCGCTGAACTAAATAAAATATGAAGAAAACACGAAGTCATAAACGACACACTTTTTATTGTCTCGGTAAGAACAGATTGTCATTAGCCGCCATGGACAACTCATTGACACATCATTAAAAAAGTTACACGTGAAATAAATGCCAAAAGCAATAACCATTTTCTTAGGAGCACACTCCTTCACTATTCACTGCATTCGTCGCCATAGGCTTAAAATATTTAGGCAAAATTAATGAAGATGCAGAGAACACAAAGCCCTTTGTATCGTTATTACTTATCAACTTCTGAACTGAGAACTATACCTTTATCGAAGTTCTCGCATATAAAGCCTATAGCTCAATGGAGACGTTTTAAAGACAAGACGTTCGCCAACATTCTTGTGGAAACGTTCTAGTAAGTCCCCTTCGGTCGATAATGTTCCCGACGTGAGCACCGAAGTGTTTAATATCATGACCTGGGCTTTTCACTGTGTATTACAAAATACCCGTACCATTCTAGAAAATTCAGTTACTGTTTGTTTTCTCCTTGCATTTTCTGTTTTTACCAATCTATAACATACCCGTTCTAGCGTATCGCAACATTTGTTGATGTCTTAAATGATATTTTGTTTCTTTCTGTTATCCATACTATATTCTTTCGTTTGGCTATCCTTATTGAAAAAGGTACTCTTTCGAGGTGTATCCACTAAACAATGCGCCCTTTTTCGGTGAATTCGTCAGTTACAGTTTGTGGGTCTCAAAATCGGTACCATCACTCCTTTCGGCCAGCCTGTTGACCCGAACACTCTTAAAGACAGGATGTATTTGGGGAGTTTTTCTCTCCCATAAGAATAATCGCTATTCGTATCGCGTGCCTTTCTTTAAAGTTATTGTCACGCACAAACTTCTGAAGATACTGTAGCGAGTGCACTTTTTCGAAAAATTTAGAAGTCAAACTAGTGAGATAGTCCTCGTTAATTGTGTGACAGAGATGCATAAATGCACGGTTTATTTTTAGAGTGTCCCCCTCTGCTGCTCAGTGGTCTAGCTTCTGAACGCCCTGCAAGTGTTGTTTGGCGCTGTGATTTCAAATCACAATAATATTTTATCTCTTCTTCCGATTCACGCTAACGTACGCCTGAATTTTTCGAAAGGTCAAGTTTTGGCCGCGTAGTAACTTTTTTTGACGAATACCTCTCCCGATCAGTCCGGTCTAATACAACAAAAAAAAAAAAAGTGCGGCCCTTACGCGTAAGCACTTGCGAGACAACAAAAATACTTCGTAATATCGTTCTGTACCTTTCTTTATCGTGCTCTATGCGGAATAAGAGTGATTATAGATTAAGCTTCATTTCATCAAACAAGGTTGACTGGCACCGTGCTCTGTTGTAGGCACGCCGACCCGGTTTCATCGGTGTTATGCCTAACGTCCAAGATAAAGTGGCACCACGCAGCGCACACAGCGTGAACAGCTTACCGACTCCGTTCATTGGAGGCTGTAGTCAGCCATTTTAGGAAGTTAAGCTGGCGCTTACTGTTACAAAACTGCTGCGTCATGCATGAAACCTGAAAGCATGGACACCGTTGAGCACGTTATACGACAACTACTACTGATGTACGCTTGACCGACTGATTGCCAGACTAACCAAATGAATTGCAAAAGAAAAAAGAAAACACAAGGAAGAGTACGCTCAAATATCATCAGCAAATTCGCAGGCAAGGATCCAAGTTAGCTATAACGTAAGATGGAGAACTCAGGTGCATAGGAAGAGCCTTTCCTGTGTGGTAAAGCTAAACGTACTGATGGCAATGAATACGATGCTCATTGTGGTGAAATGAATGATGAATCTTTTCTCACTACAGACTTTCCTGTCATCTGCTAGAATAACCTTAAAGTTGGACATTTCAAGATTTGCCTGATGTATCTTTAAACACGTCTCGTTGGCTATACTTTCCTTTTCATGGTATTTACGCAAGTGCTGTGATAGTACGCCGGTGATTTACTTTTTACAGTCTCTTACAAGGCAGCGAATATAATTATGATAGAATGATAGCGCTATATGCACAGTAGAGTCTTCGCAAAATGAAATTTCCGCCAGTGCTTCCAAGTGGTGACATAGAGAGCATTCAGCAGGTCGAAAGAGGTTTGGAAAGAGCAGAAGAAAATCATGTAGCTTCTTGATACTATGGAGGCATAGGAGGCGAGGAGCAAGCTGAAATAATGTGAGTATCCCTTGTTCTCATACGTGAGATTTCGTGGACGTCACTTTTAAATATCCCCTCCACCCCCCCCCCCTCCCCCGAGCAACAAGTGCAGTACACTACGCAATTTCTCTACTACTGCTACAACTACACACATTTCTCTTCAGTAGAGACGCTTAAACGACAATGTTAATTGTGCCACACGACATAACAGTGCGAGGATTTCACGTATTGCTGTGAAGACTTAGCGTTAAATATCACGTAAAGTGACGATAGTGAGAGGAACTGCAAACTCAGTAAGAAACTTGTGTATAGTCATTCGGACAATAACTGTGGCCGAAAAAAAAAACCGCCACTTTTCTATCTAACTTACAGCCCGACCAGCTGATCCTACGCTTGTAACCCGCAGGTGTCACAGTTTGTCCACTAGACTCCACAATGCAAAATTTTCACCAGTCCTGTGTGTCCTTCGTGATAGGGATAGTATTCGAACGTTCTACTTCGACCTCTGCCAGGATTCACTGTAGCTGCTTGAATGCAAGATGCCTTATATTGCATTTAAATGATATTTATATGCACGGAAGTGCAGTCCTGTGGCTGCGATAACACACCACATTGCTTTAAGATGGGCCTTTGTCCATATGATAGAGTATGAAGGGCAGATCTGAATCAGCGGATTCTGGCAGCTTGTTTATGCTGTGACGCACATTCTCTAGAATTTCGATTGTTCCTTGCATGTTCAACAATATCATTCGGGTGTTAATTCTTCACGATTCTGTCACTATGTGTTGATGCTTGGCGCACATGATATGTGGGCTGTGACGGTTGAATTGTCTATTAGACGCTGGGATACAAGGGCTAGCTGCATTTCGGCTACAGAATTTATTCCGGGTTTATTCGTACCAACGCGCATCTTGCAAGCAGTGTTTTGTAAACGCAATCATTTTTGTGCCTTGCAGAAGTGTACTGGTTGATGGATTATTGTAGGAGAATTGAAAGCAGCTCAGAGAAGGTTACATGTGTCCGTCGTCGTCTCCCTTTCCTACCCGAAGCTGTTTTAAACCACGTCACTGCCTTGCGAGATGATAAGCTGGAGCGAACAAATAAATACAGAGTGGTTGTAGTAATTCACGAGCTCACTGAATGATGTTTTCGGAGAACAACGAGATGCGACAGGATCACTGAGCGAAGCGAGTCTTATTTTTGTGTGCGTGGAAGCCGATGGTAGAACTGGCTGAAGAACACGGCCGGACACTAAGTCCCTTCTTAGCATTTCTGTTTTTAAAACAAGTATTTTCTAGAATTTTCGACGCTCACCTAGCGCGCTCCCACCCAAAGTCACGTTGCACAAGTTTGAAGAACTCCTCGTTGTGCGGCTCAAAGAACTTTCTCAGCCTACGCACGTTCTCCTCCCTGAGCCTCGGGTGGGTGCGGCCTTTGGTCTTGCCGAGGCAGTGAGGGCTGCCGCTACCTTCACTCTTCTTTAGGCAGGGAAAACCCTTCGTTCGGTTGAAGTAGAAATGGTCCTCGGACACGAGCCGCCTCAGGCCCAGGAAGTCCTGGACCATGGCCATCTCGCGGGCTGGGTTCCTCACCAGCTCCTCACCGCTGACGACGTGAATCTGGGACTGGGGGAAGTGTCTGAGCCATTGAGCCAGGTGATTGGCGTACAGGCCGATGCGTATGCCGGACCACGCCTCGTCGACGTCGCTGCTTGCGTTCCAGCACGTGCTGTTCTTGTTACTGCGACTGACCGTACCGCAGTCCCGGTTGATGGCCTCGTAGTCGTTGGTGTTGGTTACATCGTTTTCAGAAGTTCTAGCTTCACTCCTTAAGCCCGTGAATGAGGCTGATGTACCTTTCTCTTTAGTGGTTATGGAAGGAACGTGTTTTGGAATACTGTTACCATCGCCATCTATGTTATGTCGGTGAGTTTGGCTCAACCAATCTGGGCCAGCCTGTGTCATATTTAGACTGGCAAGCATATAATTAGGCATTGTATTTCGCGCGTGCCATATATAATTGTGTTCTTTGCTGTGCAGAGCTTGTCCGGTACTGATAACCCTATCGTTTTCTTCAATGACATTCTTGCGTGTATTTTTTGTGTCAAGAGCCTGATCTCTCTCCAACGTATTTTTACGATAGTTCACCTTCCCAGTGAAGGTCCTTCGAGCACTTCTATGTGCACTGTAGTGAGGTGTTGCGGACCCTTCACTATCAATGCCGGGATTTCCAGAAGTCGAGGTTCGTCCAGAACTGATAGTGCCGTTCCCATCGTTGCTGGTTCGCCTCTTGCGGTTCGGCTGGTGGCGAAAATTTGAAGTGAAGCCTCCGTTTTTTCTCCGCTTGCGCCTACGGAACGCTAGCGCTTCGAACGGCAGTGTGGTGTCAGGACGCTTAGAAGCCGTCTGGGCATAGTCGGAGAGGGCTCGAGTGACTGGGTCCCGAACAACGACCAGGAGGCGGGCATCGGGAAGCGTGTTTCGGATGCGAGCCGGTACCTCTTCGGTCACGAAGTAGCTGGGCGTCTTCTCCATGGTAATCTGCTCCGGTAGTGTCAGCGGCATCTGGAGCCTGCGTAGTGGAAAAGAGATAACATGTACGTCTAGCAGGAAAGAGCATGTAAGCAACTTCTAATAATTCAAAATTAGACATCCCCCTCATATCATGGCAAAAATGTTTATCTACTGTACCAAATGTGCGTACTCTTGAAGGCATAAAAAAACAGAAAAGAAAAATTGCCTAAAAGGAAACCGAAGGGGTTTCTAGTCTCAGTGAACTGCGAAAATGAGACAATAAAGGCTGCAGACTAACGACCTTCTTTGTCATTAGGAGCATATTTATTAACACAGATATTCACATATAGGCAAACCACGTAACATATCGCTTCATCAACAAAGAAAAGGCCGGAGCACTGATCAAAACGACAAGACAACGTTTTGTGGGGACGCTCCTTCGCCTCGTGTTTAACGCTGTGTACTCTCCCCATTTATTAACGCATAACACACACTAATCACCTGGCTAACCTTTACTGTCCCAAATTGAGGGTACAAAAAGTGTTCTAAACATTGCAGTAGCGAAACAATTATTGATAGACCTGATTCGGTCTCAGAAACAAACGGCCATTTCATACAAATAAATTTATTTTTGAGATACTTACATTATTTGATAGTAACAACTTCCCGTGATCCACAAAAAATTCGAAACAAACGTGTAATGAAAATCACCTGAATGGCTGCAGAAATGGTTGAAGACAAGCTCCACATGAAAGTAGGCCGGGACTATGGCATGATCGTAATCGAGTATTTCTCGCTAAGCCACCATTAACTGCAGTGGAAAAGGGGAGGTCGTGTTTTGGAAAATACGCTGCTTGTTAATTACTGATGCCCTCTTTTTATTTATTGTGAAAAACTTCGTTCAAATGCATATATTAAAATAGACATCCGTAACATTCTTATATGTGAAAACGTGGAAATTCTTCTGTAATAATCACATGCCTAATATATTTTAGATACTGTCGCAGAAACTTTTGGCATTCGATTTGATTTGATTAGCTCATAGTTATATTCAATTCGGGTTTGACTGGTTCTTCGAAATTACTCTTGACTGACAAATATGACTATCTTTCATGGTTAGTTGCTCCGCCGCGGTGGTCTAGTCGGATTCCACTTCCGGCTTTCGAGCGATACTGTCGCGGAATGTTCGGCTCCAACGGAGCGGTATCAGCGGCCCGACCGGGCCGCGGTAACAGGGTTTTTGCGCCTAGTGCCGATGTTTATCAGGTGATTCTGCCCAATCTGCCTTCCGGACGTATCGCTGCGAATACCGTGTTCATGCATGGTGATCCGAGAGCCCGGCCTTACCGCGTCGAAGATTACCGGGACACTTTGGCCAAGCTTGGTGCGCTCGACGACGTTTTGGCGTTGGGGGCGTATCAAATGAACCACGTATGGGCTGTGACACTGACGAGTGCTGAGGCTGCTCGGAAGTTGCTCTCCGCCATCGATGTGAAGGTAAAGGATCGCCCATATTTGCTCATTGACCCAAATAACCGCGAGGTTCGCTTGAAGCTTCACTGGTTGCTGCACGGCGTGACCGACGAAGACGTGCGTGTTGCCTTGACTCCCTATGGGAAAGTATTTGAAGTGAAACGGGAGAAGTGGCGAGCACCGGGCATCACAGAAAAGGGCTCAACGACGCGGTTTGTGGGACTAAAGCTGCATTCCGACGTCAAGGTGGACGACCTTCCGCACCAGCTCAAGATTGCCGGAGAGCTGACTCTCGTTGTCGTTCCGGGCCGTGCACCGTTGTGCCTACGGTGCAAGAGTACCGGTCACATACGTCGCGACTGCCGAGTACCCCGCTGCAATCGTTGTCGCCGCTTCGGCCACGAAGACGACGACTGCGCGAAGACATATGCCAGTGTGACCGGACCAGCGCAGGAAAGTGATGCACTGGAGCACCTCATGGACGAAGCAGACTCGGAAGAAACAGCAGGAGTTAACCCAAACTCTGCTGTGGAAGATGGGTCGTCATGCCGTCAAGAAGAGGGCGTGTGTGAAGCACCAGGTAAGCCCGACGCCGGGCTTCCATACGAAGGCGTAGGAGAAAGCAGTGAAAAGGTGGATGCAAGCAGCACCGGCGACACGTTTCTTGGCTAAGCAGACGAGACCCCCTCCGAGGCTGAACCGATGACTGGGATTGAAAGCGACAGTGGCACTGTGACGGGGAAGCGTCCCCGTGACGAAGGGAAAAAAGACAAGGACACCACTGCTGCCTCGCCGGACGAACCACCCGCCAAAACGACTCCCGCTCGGTGGCCTCTCATCCGGCCACGGCCAAACATTTCGTCGGAGCGCAAGACGGCGGAAACGCCGCCCTCGCCAACTTAAGATATGTACTGGGACAATGCGTTCAGGAGGGAATTGCAGTTGAAGGTAAGCGCCATGCCCCTGGGTTTTTCGTAGCCTTACAATGGTGCAAATAGAAAGTTCAATCCGTGTGGCCACTTTAAATGTGCGTGGCCTGGCCTCACGGAGAAAACAATGTCAGCTTTATCGGCTAGTAAGTGACCTCGACCTTGACATACTGGCAGTCCAAGAGACTAAAGTCCATGGCGACGATGAAACTGGGGGCATGGTGCGCCAATTCTTGCCGCGGTATTCTGTTATAGTTAGCCATGCCATAGGGACTTCTTCCGGTTGCGTTTTGTTCGTCAGACAGAGTCTGGGTGCTAAAGTAGAAGCCGCAACGTCCTGTCCGTCTGGTCGGCTCATTGTTTGTGATTTCTTGTTTTCGGGATTAAAATGGCGCGTAATATGCTTGTACGCACCGACTGTCACTGACGAAAGACGCGTATTTTTCGAACAACTAAAGCAGTATACCAAATGTAATAGGCTCCTAATCATTATTGGCGATTTCAACTGCATCCTTTCAGCCAAAGACAAAACTAGCGAAGGACATTACAGGGATGCAAGTACGGCTGTCTTAAGCGATATAGTAAGAGAACATGGTTTGGAGGATGTGGCTGAATGTCTCGGTGGTGGCCGGACTATGCAGTACACCCACTTTCAGGCAGCCAGCCATGCCCGACTAGATAGGGCGTACGTTAGTGTAGAATTGGTACCGCTTTGCAAGGCATACCGTGTTAACGCCGTTTCATTTAGTGACCACTGCTTGGTTAGCTTTGTAGTAGCTAGCACGAAAGAAACGAAAAGGGCCTTCGAGTGGCAACTATGGAAATTGAATTCGAATCTGCTGAGTGATGAAAAATTTATGGAGGAAGTAATGACGGAAGTTGAAAAAATGAAAGTTCGCAGTAAAAAGACGTTTAGAGATAAATGGGAGAACTTCAAGCAGGTCGTTAAATTGAAGGCTTTGGAACGCTCGAGCGCTATAAGCAGAGAAAAAGGAGCAGAAGAAAAGCTCATGCGCAGAAACCTGGAAAAATTGCTCCTCGAAGAATGTAGAATGCCCGGCATGTTTCTTGAAGATATTCGCGCGTTGAAAAGTAAAATTGAGCGGTTCGATGTCGAAAGATACCGCGGTGCTATGGTTCGGGCAAGAGCCGAGCGACTGATAACGGCAGAAGCACCGTCAAAAAGGGCGTTGGGCTCAGAAAAGTGGCATGCGCGTCGTAATCAGATAACAGAAATTGAACACGAGGGTGAAGTCAGCGATGACGCAGATGTTATCGAGCGTGCTTTCTTTGAGCACTTCAAGGGTTTATTCGCCGCCAGCTCAGTTGATGTCGATCGTTTTAAAAAAGATTTTTTACCGCTGATGCCAAAGCTTGACAATAATACAAAAGAAATATTGGAGGAACCCATTTCGGAAGAGGAAGTTAACAGTGCTATTGAAAGTATGCATCCCGGAAAATCGCCTGGCCCTGATGGTTTGACTTCCGCCTTTTATAAGTGTTTCAAGTTTGAAATAACACCAGTCTTAGCCGACGTTTATAATGAGGCATTCGAGCTGAAAATATTACCCCCGTCCTTTTCATCATCTCACACAGTTCTTATACCAAAATCGGCAGACCCCGTTGCACTGCGCAAAGTAAATTCTTACCGCCCAATCTGCCTCACTAATGGAGAACAAGATATTCATGAAAATCCTAGCTAAAAGGTTGCAAACAGTCATTACGGAGCTCGTGGGGCCGCATCAGACGTGCGGCATTAAAGGTCGAACTATCCTCACGAATATACACGCAGCCCGGAGCATCCTTGAATGTTGCGACGCTATTGGTGCGCGAGTCGCAATGCTGCAAATCGACCTCGAGAAGGCTTTTGACAGGGTGCCTCATGAAATTCTGCTGTGCATCCTAGATTATGTGAATTTAGGGAAAATAATCAAAGAGGGGGTTGTCATGGCGTACCGAGACTGCTCAACGCGGGTAATCATTAACAAGGTGGTGGGGAAGCGCATCCCAGTCAAGCGTTCGGTCTGTCAGGGTTGTCCTCTCTCACCACTATTGTTTTGTTTGTACATAGAGTCCTTTTGTTTGAGTGTCATAGAGAATGACTGTGTCCGTGGGTTTAAGATGCACGAAGTTGAAGTCCGACTGTTGGCTTATGCGGACGATATTGCCATTTTTTGCGCGGACTCTGACAGCATAGCAGATGCTGTCAAATGCGTTACTAACTTCTGTGCTGCAAGTGGCAGCGCTGTAAACTGGGGAAAATGCCTTGGCTTTTGGCACGGTGACTGGGCAGAAACCCCAGACAGTTTTGCCAGCATAAGGTTTGTTACGACACCGGTGAAATACTTGGGTGCCCCCCTCGAATGCTACAAAGACAGCGATTCGTACTGGAGGAGCCAAGTGTATAACCTGCGGGAAAGAGTTAACAAGTGGAATGGCTGGAATTGGTCTATGTTTTCTAAAGCCACAATTTGCAACATATTCTTAGTGAGTAAAATTTGGTATATTTTACAAGTCTTACATTGTTCAAGGGTAAACATCCAAAAATTTCACCGTGTGTTCGCTGTCTTCGTTTGGGAATCGTCTGGGGAAAGATCGAGTCGGACCAATTTATTTCTTCGAGTGCGAAATGGAGGACTGGACTTGTCGCATTTGT